ATCTAGTTTATCTTTATTAAACCAGGTAAACCTTACTGAGATCATAGATCTCTCTTGAAGCAGCTGAACWTCAGGGTTTTAGTCTGTGAGAGGAACCTCTGCACAGAAAGACCCCAGGTCTGAGTCAGGGGTCAAACCCAGGATCTGCTCTGTGTGAGACCTCAGTGCTGRCCACTGAACCACCATGCTGTCTTCATGTGAATGTTTTAAACTAAGATAGCTGCTGGGTGCCACTCTCAGCTACTACCACAGCTTAAAACACCGACTGACTGGTTTCTGTGTCTAAGGTCGGTTAGCTRCGGCGGCCATTTTGATTCAGGTTGACTGCAGATGTTAATCATTTGTAGATGAATAAAAAAAAGATTTTCTAGATCTGTTTTCTTATCTTGTCTCTCAGAGTTGAGGTCTGTGTATGATGCCAGTTCCAGGCCTCTCTCACCTTTATAAGTGGGAGAACTTGAACAATTGGTGGCTGAATAAATGTTTTTCCCCGCTGWGTAAAACTGCTGTGGTTTGTAACAGCTGGACGTGAAGCTGCAGGTGGAGTACATGTCCTTCAGTGCTCATGCAGATGCAAAGGGCATCATGCAGCTGATCCGCATGGCGGAGCCTCGGAACATGCTGCTGGTGCACGGAGAGGCCGTCAAGATGGAGTTCCTCAAGGGCAAAATCGAGCAGGAGTTCAGTGAGTCCCAGCTTTAAACCACAGCGCCTGCTCTGGGAGGACAGGGACCTTCCAGCCTGCTGGTAATGGTTCTGTTTTTATTTTCAGGTATAGACTGTTACATGCCAGCCAACGGGGAGACGACGACTATCACGACAAACCCCAGTGTTCCTGTGGACATGTCGCTCAGCCTGCTGAAGAGGGAAATGGCTCTTGGAGGTTAGTTTTCTGTTTGGGTTTAGCCTCTTTACAGAGTTTCTCTTCACGTTTCTCTGACATTTTGGTTGGTTGGTTCAATAATGTTGTGTTTTTGCCAGAGAAAAACAAACTTCCATTCATCACATCAAATTAGTGAATTTAATCTGAATTAATGAACAAAATTTTGATGTTATAATCAGACAAAAAGATCACTCTAATTTTCTAAACAACTTTTATAATAACGGATTCAAACTATGATGCAAAACATATAAT